TAATAATATATATAATAATATATATATTATATATATATATATATATATATATATATATATTTATATATAAATATATATATATATATATATTTATATATATAGATATATAGATATATATATATGCGTATTTATATATAACAACTTTATACTGAATATTAGATATATACTTATTTCCATAACTTATTACTACTCGAAAAATCTCACCCAAGTCTCTTTTTAGCCTCTTGCTCACTCTCTCACGTCACTGTCTATCATTCTGCTAACCAGAATTGAGCGCTGCACAAACGTAAAGAAAAACTGATGTATCTCCACGGGTTATTTGCACCCATTCACGCTCGAATATACCCAGTACTGATGAACCGATATACATTTTCCTTTCTATCGTAGTCCGTATTCAATCTGTTAGTATGTAATTGTGTCGCATCATTATGACAGCTCTCTTTCTAGAATCTTACCTGTACCCCCAAAGATAACTACAAATGCCGCATCTCCGACACATGCGTGCATTTCAAACAACAGAAATCGCACTACCCGTACACACAAGACTCCAACTTCACACACTCTCTCACTCTGTTTCGATCTTACGCGGAAGTACCGAGACTCCTACCTTGCCATTGTAGTCTGTATTCAATTTGTTCGTGTGATCTCGGAACATCTCGCCCAATTCCCTTTCCAGTCTCTTGCCCACCCACTCAATGTCGCCATCCGACGCCGCACTTTCGTAATTTTTGTTCTGTCGAGGCGCTACCGCCGATGTCGTACTATTGCGAAACGCTGGATGGATACAGTGAGGATCACAGGCATCAGTGTCAAAATAAAATTCTAGCAATGCCATTAAGCGAATGTTTGTTTGCCCGAGGTGAGCTGGTAATCAAATATACCAGCGGTAAAATTTGCGAACACGGACGTGGGTGGTCGAGGCCGACGTATAATATATATATATACATATATACATCAATATATATTTATATATATATATATATATATATAAATATATATATATATATCTATATATATATACTTCAGTATATGTACT